CAAAAGGGACTTTGGTGGCCCCTGAGGGGACTTTGGTGGCCCCTGAGGGGACTTTGGTGGCCCTGAGGGGACTTTGGTGGCCCCTGAGGGGACTTTGGTGGCCCTGAGGGGACTTTGGTGGCCCTGAAGGGACAATTTGGTGGCCCTGAGGGGACTTTGGTGGCCCTGAAGGACTTTGGTGGCCCCAAAAGGGACTTTGGTGGCCCAGGAGGGTGACAGGGCCACCAAAGGGTGACAGGGCCACCAAAGGGTGACATGGCCACCAGGGGGGTGTGGCAGTGCCACCTCAGCCCTGTCCCCATGTCCCCAAGGGGTATCTGAATGCCACCACCACTGTCCCCATGTCCCCAAGGGGTATCTGAATGCCACCACCACTGTCCCCATGTCCCCAAGGGGGGTGTCCCTGTCCCTTGAAGATGTCCTGGTGCCACCACTGCTGTCCCCATGTCCCCAAATCCCTGTCCCATGTCCCCAAGGGGTGTGTCCTGGTGCCACCACCACCTGTCCCCATGTCCCCACACCCCCAAATCCCTGTCCCCATGTCCCCAAATCCCTGTCCCCATGTCCCCAGTCCCTGTCCCCATGTCCCAGTGCCACCTCAGGCCTGTCCCCATGTCCCCAAATCCCTGTCTCCATGTCCCCATGTCCCCAAATCCCTGTCCCCATGTCCCCAGTCCCTGTCCCCATGTCCCAGTGCCACCTCAGGCCTGTCCCCATGTCCCCAAATCCCTGTCCCCATGTCCCAGTGCCACCTCAGGCCTGTCCCCATGTCCCCAAGGGGGGTGTCCCTGTCCCCTGAAGATGTCCTGGTGCCACCTGAGGATGTCCCTGTGCCACCACTGCTGTCCCCATGTCCCCAAATCCCTGTCCCCATGTCCCCACAGGGGTGTCCCAGTGCCACCACCACTGTCCCCATGTCCCCAAATCACTGTCCCCATGTCCAAATGCCACCACCACTGTCCCCATGTCCCCAAATCCTGTCCCCATGTCCCTACAGACGTGTCCCGGTGCCACCACCACCTGTCCCCATGTCCCCAAATCCCTGTCCCCATGTCCCCAAACCCCCAAATCTCTGTCCCCAAATCCCTGTCCCATGTCCTGGTGCCACCACAGCACTGTCCCCGTGTCACCAAACCCCTGTCCCATGTCCCCAATCCCTGTCCCATGTCCCCAAATCCCTGTCCCATGTCCTGGTGCCACCACCGCTGTCCCCGTGTCACCAAACCCCTGTCCCATGTCCCCAATCCCTGTCCCATGTCCCCAAATCCCTGTCCCATGTCCCCAAATCCCCATCACATGTCCCCAAATCCCTGTCCCCATGTCCCCAAATCCCTGTCCCATGTCCCCATGTCCCCAAATCCCTGTCCCCATGTCCCCAAATCCCTGTCCCATGTCCCCATGTCCCCAATCCCTGTCCCCATGTCCCCAAATCCCTGTCCCCATGTCCCAGTGCCACCACCGCCTGTCCCCATGTCCCCAAGGGGGGTGCCCCTGTCCCCTGAAGATGTCCTGGTGCCACCTGAGGATGTCCCTGTGCCACCACTGCTGTCCCCATGTCCCCATGTCCTCATGTCCCCATGTCCCCAATCCCTGTCCCCATGTCCCCACAGGCGTGTCCTGGTGCCACCACCACTGTCCCCATGTCCCCAAATCCCCAAACCCCCGTCCCCATGTCCCCAAGGGGGGTGTCCCAGTGCCACCACCACTGTCCCCCTGTCCCCATGTCCCCAAATCTCTGTCCCCATGTCCCCAAGGGGGATGTCCCAGTGCCACCACCCCCTGTCCCCCTGTCCCCATGTCCCCACCCCCCCATACCTGGTAGACGGAGGCCTTGGGCAGATCGAGGCACACGGTGCAGCAAAGCACCGAGTGCAGCCGCTCCTCCAACTTCACGTTCCCCGCCGCCCCCTCAGCGCCGCCGCCGCCGCCGCCGCCGCCGCCGCCGCTCCCCGCCGCCCTCAGCCGCTTCTTGGGCGGCGCGTCGGGATCTCCGCCCGCCTCCATCAGCAGCGCCGCCGCTTCTTCCCCGCTTTCCCCTCCTCCTCCTCCTCCGCTGATGGCGGATGAGGCCGCGGGAACGGGCGCGGAAGGAGCGGAGGGAGCGGCGGGGCCGCCGCCGCCATCGCGCTCCTCCGGCCCCGACATCGCCGCCGCCATCGCCGCCTCACCCCGCCGCCATCTTGGGCGCCCTCACGGCTTTCCCCCTCAGCGGTGTAGCCAATGGGAAGCGGCGAGGGGCGGGGCGAGGGAGGGAAGAACCAATAGGATTGGGAGGATGGTGGAGTGATGGGTGAGGCGGCCAATGGGAAGGGGAGGTGAGGGGGGGTGATGGAGGGGGCGTGGTTTGGTGATGTCATGGAAGGGGTGGGCCAATGGGAGGGTGAGGAGGGGATGGGGGCGGGGCTAAGGGAAGGAGTGGGGGGGGAGCGCGGGGGGGTCACCAGTATAAACCAGTATGGACCAGTATAAACCAGTATGGACCAGTATGGACCAGTATAGACCAGTATGGACCGGTATAGACCAGTATGGACCAGTATGGACCAGTATGGACCAGTATAGACCAGTATGGACCAGTATAGACCAGTATGGACCGGTATAAACCAGTATAGATCACTATGGGACCAGTATAGACCAGTATAGACCAGTATAGACCAGTATGGACCAGTATGGACCAGTATGGACCGGTATGGACCAGTATGGACCAGTATGGACCAGTATGGACCGGTATGGACCAGTATGGACCAGTATGGACCAGTATGGACCAGTATGGACCAGTATGGGACCAGTATGGACCAGTATGGACCAGTATAAACCAGTATAAACCAGTATGGACCAGTATAGACCAGTATAGACCGGTATGGACCAGTATGGACCAGTATGGACCAGTATGGACCAGTATGGACCAGTATGGACCAGTATGGACCGGTATAGACCAGTATAAACCAGTATGGACCGGTATGGACCAATATAGACCAGTATGGACCGGTATAGACCAGTATGGACCAGTATGGACCTGTATAGACCAGTATGGACCAGTATGGACCAGTATGGACCAGTATGGACCAGTATAAACTGGTATAAACCGGTATAGACCAGTATGGACTTGTATAAACCAGTATAGGTCGCTATGGGAACAGTATGGACCAGTATAAACCAGTATAAACCAGTATAGACCATTATAGACCGGTATAGACCGGTATAAACCGGTATAGACCGGTATAGACCAGTATGGACCAGTATAGACCAGTATAGACTGGTATAAACCAGTATAAACCAGTATGGACCAGTATAAACCAGTATAGACCACTATGGGACTGGTATAAACCAGTACGGACCAGTATGGATCAGACTAGTATGGGACCAGTATTGACCAGTATAAACCAGTATAAACCAGTATGGACCAGTTTGGCCCAGTATGGACCAGTGTCACACCAGTGCCACCATCAGTGCCACCACCAATGTCATCCAAGTGCCACCGTGCCTTTATTGGTGTCCCCACAGTGCCACCACCCCAGTGCCACCAGGACCATCCCAGTACCACCATCAGTGCCACCATCAGTGCCACCAGTGCCACCTTGGTGTCACCATCAGTGTCACACCAGTGCCACCATCAAAGCCACCACTTGGATGCCACCGTGCCTTTATTGGTGTCCCCATAGTGTCACACCAGTGCCACCCCGGTGCCACCATCGATGCCACCCCAATGCCACCCTGGTGTCACCATCAGTGTCACCCCAAGGGCACCGGGACCACCCCAGTGTCACCCCAGTGTCACCACCCAAGTGCCACCATCAATGCCACCCCAATGCCACCACCCAAGTGCCTCTGTGCCTTTATTGATGTCCCCACAGTGCCACCACCCCAATGTCACCAGTGCCACCATCAGTGTCACCATCAGTGCCACCACCAATGTCATCCAAGTGCCACCGTGCCTTTATTGGTGTCCCCACAGTGCCACCACCCCAATGTCACCATCAGTGTCACACCAGTGCCACCACTTGGATGCCACCATCAGTGCCACCATCAATGTCAGCCAAGTGCCACCGTGCCTTTATTGGTGTCCCCACAGTGCCACCACCCCAGTGCCACCAGTGTCATTCCAGTGCCACCCTCAGTGTCCCCTCAGTGCCACCACCCCAGTGCCATCAGTGCCACCATCAGTGTCACCCCAGTGCCACCACCCCAATGCCACCATGACCACACCAGTGCCACCCCAGTGCCACCAGTGCCACCATCAGTGTCACACCAGTGCCACCACTTGGATGCCACCATCAGTGCCACCATCAATGTCAGCCAAGTGCCACCGTGCCTTTATAGGTGTCCCCACAGTGCCACCACCCCAATGTCACCATCAGTGTCACCATCAGTGTCACCCCAGTGTCACCACCCCAGTGCCACCCCAGTGCCACCATCAATGTCACACCAGTGTCACACCAGTGCCACCATCAGTGTCACCATCAGTGTCACCATCAGTGTCACCATCAGTGTCACCCCAGTGTCACCATCAGTGTCACCATCAGTGCCACCATCAGTGTCACATCAGTGCCACCATCAGTGTCACATCAGTGTCACCATCAGTGTCACCATCAGTGCCACCATCAGTGTCACATCAGTGCCACCATCAGTGTCACCCCAGTGTCACCATCAGTGTCACCATCAGTGTCACATCAGTGTCACATCAGTGCCACCATCAGTGTCACATCAGTGTCACATCAGTGTCACATCAGTGTCACCATCAGTGTCACATCAGTGCCACCATCAGTGTCACCCCAGTGTCACCATCAGTGTCACCATCAGTGTCACATCAGTGTCACATCAGTGCCACCATCAGTGTCACCATCAGTGTCACATCAGTGTCACCATCAGTGCCACCATCAGTGTCACATCAGTGTCACCATCAGTGTCACCATCAGTGTCACATCAGTGTCACATCAGTGTCACACCAATGCCACCATCAGTGCCACCCCAGTGTCACCATCAGTGCCACCATCAGTGTCACCCCAGTGCCACCATCAGTGCCACCCCAGTGTCACCATCAGTGTCACATCAGTGTCACATCAGTGTCACATCAGTGCCACCATCAGTGTCACCCCAGTGCCACCATCAGTGTCACATCAGTGCCACCATCAGTGTCACATCATTGTCACATCAGTGTCACCATCAGTGTCACCATCAGTGCCACCATCAGTGCCACCATCAGTGTCACATCAGTGTCACCATCAGTGTCACCATCAGTGCCACCATCAGTGTCACCCCAGTGCCACCCCAGTGCCACCATCAATGCCACCCCAATGCCACCATGCCTTTATTGGTGTCACCCCAGTGCCACCACCCCAGTGCCACCAGTGCCACCATCAGTGTCACCATCAGTGTCACCACCCATGTGTCACCGTGCCTTTATTGGTGTCCCCACAGTGCCACCCCAGTGCCACCCCAGTGCCACCATCAGTGCCACCATCAGTGCCACCATCAGTGTCACCATCAGTGTCACCATCAGTGCCACCAGTGCCACCATCAGTGCCACCCCAGTGCCACCATCAATGTCACCGTGCCTCTATTGATGTCCCCACAGTGCCACCCCAGTGCCACCAGTGCCACCATCAGTGCCACCATCAGTGCCACCATCAGTGTCACCATCAGTGTCACCATCAGTGTCACACCAGTGCCACCATTCCTTTATTGGTGTCCCCTCAGTGCCACCACCCCAGTGTTACCAGGACCACCCCAGTGCCACCATCAGTGTCACCCCAGTGCCACCATCAGTGTCACACCAATGTCACCACCCCAGTGCCACCGTGCCTTTATTGGTGTCCCCGCAGTGCCACCACCAATGCCACCCCCGTGCCACCATCAGTGTCACAGCAGTGCCACCACGTGATGCCACCGTGCCTTTATTGATGTCCCCACAGTGCCACCACCCCAGTGCCATCAGTGCCACCATCAGTGTCACAGCTGTGCCACCAACCCAAGTATCACTGTGCCTTTATTAGTGTCCCCACAGTGCCACCACCCCAATGCCACCCCCAATGCCACCCCAGTGCCACCATCAGTGTCACACCAATGCCACCATGCCTTTATTTGTGTCCCCTCAGTGCCACCTTGGTGCCACCATCAGTGTCCCCTCACCGCCGCATGTCCCTCATTGTCCCCAGCAGTGCCACACTGGCCGCCACCCTGACCCAGGGGACACCCGCGGGTGCCACCGCGTCCCCAAGTGCCACCAACGCCGCCGCCACCGCCGCGGTGCCACCGCCGGTCAGCGCCGCCAGCGCCAGCAGCGAGGTGACCGTCAGCGCGGTGACAAAGTGACACGGTGGCACTCGGCCGGGCCACCACAGTGCCACCGATGCCACCGCCGCGCTCGTCACCAACAGGACGTTGGCGGTGGCATTGTCACCGCTCAGGCGGTGGCACCCGAAGGCCACCAAGGGTTGGGCCACCACTGAGCAGATCCAGGAGCTGGATGGGGCCTCGGGGACGTTGGGGACAGCGGTGGGTGGCCTTGGGGACAGCGATGGGGACATCAATGGGGACAAAGCGTCGGTGGCGGCCACCAGGGCCTGGAGAAGGAAGCCGGCGGCCGGGCCACCCGTCAGCTGTGGGACACAGAGGGGACACGGTGGGGACATCTTTGGGGACATCGTGGGGACATTGTGGGGACATCTTGGGGACATTGTGGGGACATTGTTGGGACATGGTGGGGACACCTGGGGGACATCAAGGGGACATCAAGGGGACATCTTGGGGATGTGATGGGGACACCTTGGGGACACCTTGGGGACATCTTTGGGGACATTGGGACATTGTGGGGATGTGATGGGGACACCTTGGGGACATCTTTGGGGACATCTCAGGGACATCTTGGGGACGTTTTAAGGACAGGGGTGGGGACATCTTGGGGACATCTTTGGGGACATCTCAGGGACATCTCAAGGACATCTTGGGGACATTGTGGGGACATTGCAGGGACGTTGTGGGGACACCTTGGGGACATCTTTGGGGGCATCTTTGGGGACATCGTGGGGACATCTTGGGGACATTGTGGGGACATTGTGGGGACATGGTGGGGACATGGTGACATCATGGGGACATCTTTGGGGACATCTCAAGGACATTGTGGGGACGCCTTGGGGACACGGGGACATCGTGGGGACATTGCGGGGACGTCATGGGACAGGACTGGGGACATTATGGGGACATTGTAGGGACATCTCAGGGACACGGGGACATCTCAGGGACATCTTGGAGACAGCGCGGGGACATTGGGACGTCATGGGGATGTGATGGGGACACCTTGGGGACATCTTTGGGGACATCTCAGGGACATCGTGGGGACATCTTGGGGACATTGTGGGGACATCTTTGGGGACATTGTGGGGACGTTTTAGGGACATTGTGGGATGTGATGGGGACATTTTGGGGACATCTCAGGGACATCTTGGGGACATGGTGGGGACATTTTAGGGACAGGGGTGGGGACATCTTGGGGACATTATGGGGACATCGTGGGGACATTGGGACATTGTGGGGATGTGATGAGGACACCTTGGGGACATGGTGGGGACATCTTGGGGACATGGGGACAGCGCGGGGACATTGGGATGTCATGGGGATGTGATGGGGACATCTTGGGGACATTGTTGGGACATCATGGGGACGTTTTAGGGACATGGTGGGGACATTGTTGGGACATGGAGGGGATATTTTGGGGACATCGTGGGGATGTCACAGGGACATCTTGGGGACATGGTGGGGACATCACAGGGACATTTTGGGGACATCTTGGGGACATTGTGGGGATGTTTTAGGGACACCTTGGGGACATGGAGGGGACATTGTCAGGACATCTTTGGGGACATCATGGGGACATTGTGGGGACATTGTGGGAACATCTTTGGGGACATTGTGGGGACATTGTGGGGACATTGTTGGGACATGGAGGGGATGTCTTTGGGGACATTGTGGGGACATTGTGGGGATGTCATGGGGACATCTTAGGGACATCTCGGGGACACCTTGGGGACATCTTTGGGGGCATCTTTGGGGACATATCAGAGACCTCAAGGGGGACATCATGGGGACATCTTTGGGGACATGGTGGGGACATCTTTGGGGATATGGTGGGGACACCTTGGGGACATCTTGGGGACATTTCAGGGACCTTTTAGGGACAGGGGTGGGGACATCTTGGGGACATTGTGGGGATATCTTGGGGACATCACGGGGACACTGTGGAGACATGGTGGGGACATTGGGACATCTTTGGGGACATTATAGGGACATGGTGGGGACATTGTTGGGGACATCGTGGGGACGTTTTAGGGACATGGTGGGGACATTTTGGGGACATCATGGGGACATCTTGGGGGGCATCTTTGGTGGCATTGTGGGGACGTTTTAGGGACACGGTGAGGACATCTTTGGGGACATGGTGGGGACATTGTGGGACATGGTGGGGACATCTTTGGGGACATCTCAGGGACATCATGGGGACATTGTTGGGACATGGTGGGGACATGGTGGGGACAGGGGTGGGGGACATCATGGGGACATTGGGACGTCATGGGGATGTTTTAGGGACAGGGGTGGGGACATCTTGGGGACATTGTGGGGACATTGTGGGGACATGGAGGGGACACTGTGGGGACATGGTGGGGACATGGTGGGGACATGGAGGGGACATCTTTGGGGACATCTCAGGGACATCTTGGGGACATTGTTGGGACATTATGGGGACATGGTGAGGACATTGGGACGTTGTGGAGATGTGATGGAGACACCTTGGGGACATCTTTGGGGACATCTTTGGGGACATTGTGGGGACGTGGTGGGGACATTGGGACATCGTGGGGATGTGATCGGGACATCATGGGGACATGGAGGGGACATCAAGGGGATATTGGGGGGACATCTTGGGGACATTGTGGGGACATTTTAGGGACATCTTGGGGACATCTCAGGGACATCATGGGGACATTGTGGGGACATTGTGGGGACATCTTGGGGATGTGATGGAGACACCTTGGGGACATCTTTGGGGACATCTTGGGGACATTGCAGGGACAACATGGGGACATGGTGGGGACATCTTCGGGACATTGTGGGGACATCTTCGGGACATTGTGGGGACATTGTTGGGACATGGAGGGGACATCTTTGGGGACATGGGGACAGTGTGGGGACATCGTGGGGACATTGTGGGGACAGGTTGGGGACATCTTTGGGGACACAGTGGGGACACTGTGGGGTCATCTTGGGGACATTGTGGGGACATCACAACATCATGGGGATGTGATGGGGACATCTTGGGGACACCTTGGGGACACCACAGGGACACCATGGGGACATTGGGACATCGTGGGGACGTTTTAGGGACATGGTGGGGACATCTTGGGGACATCGCGGGGACATTGGGACGTCGTAGGCATGTGATGGGGACATCGTGGGGACATGGTGGGGACATCTCAGGGACATCTTGGGGACATTGGGACATCATGGGGAGGTTTAGGGACATGGTGGGGACATCTTTGGGGACATGGGGACAGCATGGGGACATTGTGGGGACATCAAAGGGATATCATGGGGACATTTTAGGGACATGGTGGGGACATTGTGGGGACACCTTGGGGACATGGAGGGGACACCTTGGGGACACCTGGGGACATCATGGGGACATTGTTGGGACATCATGGGGACATCTTGGGGACATCATGGGGACATTGGGCATTGTGGGGATGTGATGAGGACACCTTGGGGACATCTCAGGGACAACATGGGGACATGGTGGGGACATCTTCGGGACATTGTGGGGACATCTTTGGGGACATTGTGGGGACATTGCAGGGACAGGGGTGGGGACAGTGTGGGGACATCTTTGGGGACATCATGGGGACAGAGCAGGGACATTGGGATGTTGTGGGGACATTTTAGGGACATGGTGGGGATGTGGTGGGGACATCTTGAGTACATGGTGGGGACATCATGGGGACATGGGGACATCAAGGGACATGGTGGGGACATCACAGGGATGTTGTGGGGACATCGTGGAGACATTGTGGGGACATCTTTGGGGACATTGTGGGGACATCTCAGGGACATTGTGGGGACATCTTTGGGGACATCATGGGGACGTTTTAGGGACATTGTGTGGACATTGCAGGGACATTGTCAGGACATCATGGGGACATTGTGGGGACATTATTGGTACATGGAGGGGACATTGTGGGGACACCTTGGGGACATCTTGGGGGGCATCTTTGGGGGCATGGTGGGGACATTGCAGGGACATCAAGGGGATGTGATGAGGACATCTTGGGGACATCGCGGGGACATTGTGGGGACATGGTGGGGACATTGTTGGGACATGGAGGGGATGTCTTTGGGGACATCGTGGGGACATTGGGAAATCTTGGGGATGTGATGAGGACACCTTGGGGACATGGTGGGGACATCTTGGGGACATTGTGGGGCTGTCATGGAGCCACCTTGGGGACATCATCAGGACATCACAGGGACATTTTGGGGACATGGTGGGGACATCACAGGGACATTTTGGGGACATCTTGGGGACATTGTGGGGACATTGTTGGGACATGGAGGGGACATCTTGGGGACATTGTGGGACAGGAATGGGGACACCAAAGGGACGTCTTGGGGACATCTTTGGGGGCATCTTTGGGGACATCTTGGGGACATTGGGACATCTTGGGGACATTGTTGGGACATGGAAGGGACATCTTTGGGGACATCAAGGGGACATCATGGGGATGTTTTGGGGACATCATGGGGACATTGTGGGGATGTGATGGGGACATCTTGGGGACATTGCAGGGACATGGAGGGGACATCTTGGGGACATCAAGGGGACGTCAAGGGGACATCTCAGGGACATCAAGGGGACATGGGGACATCTTGGGGACATCTTTGAGGACATGGTGGGGACATTGTGGGGACATTGTGGGGACATCAAGGGGACATCTCAGGGACATGGTGGGGACATCACAGGGACACCTTGGGGACATCTTTGGGGACATGGTGGGGCATTTTAGGGACATGGAGGGGACATCTTGGGGACATTGTTGGGACATCTTTGGGGACATCTTTGGGGACATTGAAGGGACATCACAGGGACATTGTGGGGACATCATGGGGACATCTTGGGGACATTGTTGGGATATTGTGGGGACAGTGCAGGGACATTGTGGGGACACCTTGGGGACATGGAGGGGACAGGTGTCCCGCCTGTCCCCTCCATGTCCCCAAGGTGTCCCTAAAGTGTCCCCAATGTCCCCGATGTCCCCAATGTCCCCAATGTCCCCCCAATATCCCCAATGTCCCCAATGTCCCCAATGTCCCCAATCCCCCCAATGTCCCCAATGTCCCCCCAATATCCCCAATGTCCCCAATGTCCCCAATGTCCCCAATGTCCCCCCAATGTCCCCAATGTCCCCCCAATATCCCCAATGTCCCCAATGTCCCCAATGTCCCCAATATCCCCAATGTCCCCAATGTCCCCAATATCCCCAATGTCCCCAATGTCCCCAATGTCCCCAATGTCTCCCCAATGTCCCCAATGTCCCCAATGTCCCCAATGTCCCCAAATGTCCCCAATGTCCCCCCAATGTCCCCAATGTCCCCAATGTCCCCAATGTCCCCAATGTCCCCAATGTCCCCCAATGTCCCCAATGTCCCCAATGTCCCCAATGTCCCCCATGTCCCCAATGTCCCCCAATGTCCCCCCAATGTCCCCAATGTCCCCAATGTCCCCAAATGTCCCCCAATGTCCCCAATGTCCCCCCAATGTCCCCAATGTCCCCAATGCCCCCAATGTCCCCAATGTCCCCAATGTCCCCAATGTCCCCAATGTCCCCCCAATCCCCCCAATGTCCCCAATGTCCCCAATGCCCCCAATGTCCCCGATGTCCCCAATGCCCCCATGCCCCCAATGTCCCCAATGTCCCCAATGCCCCCATGCCCCCAATGTCCCCCAATGTCCCCAATGTCCCCAATCCCCCCCATGCCCCCAATGTCCCCAATGTCCCCATTATCCCAAATGTCCCCAATGTCCCCAATCCCCCCAATGTCCCCAATGTCCCCAATGTCCCCGATGTCCCCAATGTCCCTGACCTGTCTGGCTCTCAGGGCGCAGCCCAGGCTGGTGACACAGAGCACGGCGTGTGACAGGGCCACCCCGATGTCCCCAAGTGTCCCCAAGGCCACCCCGCTGTCCCCCATGGCTTGGGGACACCTGTGGGGACATCCAGAGGTCACAGTGTCCCCTCCCCCCCTCCCCTCCCCCCACAGCGTGTCCCCAAGGCCACCCCAATGTCCCCAATGTCCCCAAAACCCCCCCAATGTCCCAAATGTCCCCAAAACCCCCCCAATGCCCCCCCAATGTCCCCAATGTCCCCAATGTCCCCAATGTCCCCAATGTCCCCAAGGCCACCAGATGTCCCCAAACCCCCCCAAAATGTCCCCCCAGTGTCCCCAATGTCCCCCCAATGTCCCCCCAATGTCACCCCGATGTCCCCAATGTCCCAAATGTCCCCAAGGCCACCCCAATGTCCCCCCAATATCCCCCCGATGTCCCCCCAATGTCCCCCCCAATGTCCTCCCGATGTCCCCCCGATGTCCCCAAAGCCACTCCGATGTCCCCAAATGTCCCCAACACCCCCAATGTCCCCTCCAATGTCCCCAATGTCCCCCCAATGTCCCCAAGGCCACCCCAATGTACCCAAACCCCCCCCAAATGTCCCCAAATACCCCCGATGTCCCCAATGTCCCCCCGGTGTCCCCGATGTCCACAATGTCCCCCCGATGTCCCCAAATCCCCCCCAAATGTCCCCAAATGTCCCCCCGGTACCGGCACTTCCGGGTGCGGCCGAAACCCGGGAAGGGGCGTGGCCAAGGGCGGGGCCGAGCGCTCTGATTGGCTGCGGGAGTTGTGGGCGGGGCTAAGGGGCCGTAGGTGGGCGGGGCCGCGCGGTGGGCGGGGCTAAGGCGCGGTGGGCGTGGCTTGGTGCGGGTGGGGGAATTATGGTAATTAGAGCGCGAGGATTGGCTGCTTAATGGTGGGCGGGGCTAAATATGGTAATTAGGACTGGGAATCCCGAATCCCCCAAAATCCCAAACCCCAAACTGGGAGGAACTGGTTCAAACTGGTTCCAACTGGTTTCAAAATGCTTTAAACTGGTTCAAACTGGTTCAAACTGGTTTCAAAATGCTTTAATCCAGTTCCAAGCTGGTTTCAAACTGGTTCCAAACTGGTTTAAACTGGTTTCAAATTGGTTCAAACTGGTTTCAATATGTTTTAATCTGGTTCCAAACTGGTCCAAACTGGTTTCATTTCATTCCAAACTGGTTCAAACTGGTTCAAACTGGTTTCAAAATGCTTTAATATGGTTCCAAACTGGTTCAAACTGGTTCAAACTGGTTTAAACTGGTTTCAAATTGCTTTAATCTGGTTCCAACTGGTTCAAACTGGTTCAAACTGGTTTCAAAACGCTTTAATCTGGTTCCAAACTGGTTCAAACTGGTTCAAACTGGTTTAAACTGGTCCAAACTGGTTTAATCTGGTCCAAACTGGTTCCAAACTGGTTCAAATTGATTTCAACCGGATTAAACTGGTCCAAACTGGTTTCATTTGGTTCCAAACTGGTTTAAACTGGTCTAAACTGGTTTCAATATGCTTTAATCTGGTTCCAAACTGGTTCAAAGTGGCCCAAACTGGTTCAAACTGGTTTCACACTGGTTTAATCTGTCCCAAACTGGTCCAAATTGATTTAAACTGATTTAAACTGGTTTCAAATCTGCACCAAACTGGTTCAAACTGGTTCTGAAGCGGTTTAAAGTGGTTTAAAGTGGTTCCAAACCGGTTACAAACGGCTTTAATTTGGTTCCAAACTGGTTCAAACCGGTTTTAAACCGGTTCCAAACTGCTTTAATTTGGTTCCAAACTGGTTCAAACTGGTTTCAAAATGCTTTAATCCAGTTCCAAACTAGCCCAAACTGGTTTAAACTGGGTTCAAACTGGTCCAAACCGGTTTCACACACTGGTTCAAACTGGTCCTAATTGATTTCAGCTGGTTTAAACTGGTTCCAAACTGGTTCCAAACTGGTTTAAACTGGTTTCAAATTGGTTTAAACTGGTTCCAAATGGTTTAAACTGGTTTCAAACCGGTTCCAAACTGGTTTAAACTGGTTTAAACCGGCTCCAAAAATTTGGGGGTGCCCCTATGACGTCATCACTCCCAAATTTTGTGGGTTTTAATGCAAATTTTAGGGTGTTCAGCCTTAATTTTGGGCCAAAAATCCCCAAAATTTTGGCATTTTTGAGGGTGGCACCCCCAAATTTTGGTCATCGGGGTTTGGGGTGACCCCAAAAATTTGGGGGTGCCCCTATGACGTCATCACCCCAAATTTTGTGGGTTTTGATGCAAATTTTGGGGTGTCCAGACTCAATTTTGGGCCAAAAATTCCAAAATTTGGCCATTTTTAAGGTGACACCCCCAAATTTTGGTCACCGGGGTTGGGGGTGACCCCAAAAATTTGGGGGTGCCCCTATGACGTCATCACCCCAAATTTTGTGGGTTTTGATGCAAATTTTGGGGTGTCCAGACTCAATTTTGAGTCAAAAAACCCGAAAATTTGGCCATTTTGGGAGGGTGACACCCCCAAATTTTGGTCATTGGGATTTGGGGTGGCCCCAAAAATTTGGGGGTTCCTCTGTGACGTCATCACCCCAAATTTTGGGGGTTTTGATGCAAATTTTGGGGTGTTCAGCCTCAATTTTGGGCCAAAAACTCCCCAAATTTTGGCCATTTTTGAAGGTGACACCCCAAAATTTTGGTCACCGGGGTTTGGGGTGACCCCAAAAATTTGGGGGTGTCCCTATGACGTCATCAACCTAAATTTTGGGGGTTTTGATGCAAATTTTGGGGTGTTCAGACTCAATTTTGGGCCAAAAATTCCAAAATTTGGCCATTTTTAAGGTGACACCCCCAAATTTTGGTTACCGAGATTTGGGGTGACCCCAAAAATTTGGGGGGGTGTCCCTATGACGTCATCACCCCAAATTTGGGGCGGTTAAACACAAATTTTGGGGTTTTTGGACTCAATTTTGAGTCCAAACCCCCAAATTTTGGAACTTTTGGGAGGTGGCACCCCCAAATTTTGGTCACCGGGGTTTGGGGTGACCCCAAAAATTTGGGGGTGCCCCTATGACGTCATCAACCCAAATTTGGGGCGGTTAAACACAAATTTTGGGGTTTTTGGCCTCAATTTGGTGCCAAAAATCCCCAAATTTTGGCACTTTTGGAGGTGACACCCCCAAATTTTGGTCATTGGGGTTTGGGGTGACCCCAAAAATTTGGGGGTGTCCCTATGACGTCATCAACCCAAATTTTGTGGGTTTTGATGCAAATTTTGGGGTGTTTAGACTCAATTTTGGGCCAAAAATCCCCAAATTTTGGCACTTTTGGGAGGTGACACCCCCAAATTTTGGTCATTGGGGTTTGGGGTGACCCCAAAAATTTGGGGGTGTCCCTATGACGTCATCAACCCAAATTTGGGGCGGTTAAACACAAATTTTGGGGGTTTTGGACTCGATTTTGTGTCAAAAATCCCCAAATTTTGGCATTTTTGAAGGTGACACCCCCAAATTTTGGTCACCGGGGTTTGGGGTGACCCCAAAAATTTGGGGGTGCCCCAATGACGTCATCACCCCCTGATGACGATGTCCCCGGGGTGGCTCAGCCAAACGTCGAAAATGCTTTTATTGGGGGGGGGGAGGAGGAACCCCCCGAAATCCACCCGGGAACCCCCAAAATCCACCCGGGAACCCCCAAAATCCACCCGGGAACCCCCAAAATCCACCCGGGAACCCCCAAAATCCACCCGGGAACCCCCAAAATCCACCTGAGACCCCTTCAAATCCTTCTGGGATCCCCCCAAACCCTTCGAGGACCCCCCAAAATCCACTCGGGACCCCCCAAAATCCACTTGGGACCCCTTCAAATCTTTCTGGGACCCCCCAAAATCCACTTGGGACCCCCCCAAATCCTTCTGGGATCCCCCCAAACCCTTCGGGGACCCCCCAAAATCCACCCGAGACTCCCCCAAATCCACTCGAGACCCCCCGAAATCCTTTTGGGAACCCCCCAAATCCACTCGGGACCCCCCCAAATCCTTCTGGGATCCCCCCAAACCCTTTGGAGACCCCCCAAAATCCACTTGGGACTCCCCCAAATCCACTCGAGACCCCCCAAAATCCAACCAGGACCCCCCCAAACCCTTCGAGGACCCCCCCAAATCCCCCAGAGATCCACCCCCACCCCCCCAAACCCCCCCCAAAATTCGGGGCGCCCCCCCCACCGCCGGCGCCACCGCGTTGGGGGCCGGCCCGGCGCTGTAGGACGTCGGCAGTTGACCCCAAATTTGGGGGCGGTTTGGGGGCGCCCCGAATTTCGGCCCCTCCCAATTCGGGGGCGGCCGGAGGAGGGAATCGATGGAGAAGTTGGAATTTTGGGGGGCAGGAGGGGACGGGGGGAAGGGGCACCCCGAGAGGATGAAGGGGGAGAGGTCGGGGACGAAGGGGATGGCGGCGTTGACGTTGTTGGCGTTGTTGGCGTTGACGTTGACGTTGTTGTTGGCGTTGACGTTGACGTTGACGTTGTTGACGTTGACGTTGGCGTTGTTGGCGCGCGCCACCGCCGTGTTCTGCAGCCGCAGCGCCGCCGGAGGGATCCGAGCCACGTCCACCGTCCAAAAGTTGCCTTTGGAGTGAGGCTTGGAGGGGTCCTTCAGCACCTGGGGGGGAAAAAAGGGGAAAAAACGGTGGGGAAGGGGAGAAATGGTGGAAAAATTGGGGGAAAAACACAAAAAATGCAAAAAAATCCTCAAAAAAATCGGGTGAGAAACGCAAAAAATGCAAAAAAATGGGTGAGAAATGCGAAAAATTAAAAAAAAAAAGGTGAGAAAAGTGAAAAATGCAAAAAACCCCCAATAAATCGGGTGAGAAAGGCGAAAAATGTAAAAAAACCCCAATAAATTGGGTGAGGAACGCCAAAAATGCAAAAAAAACATGAAAAATGGGGTGAGAAACGTGCGAAATGCAAAAAACCCACGAAAAATCATGTGAGAAATGCGAAAAATTCAAAGAAATTGGGTGAGAAATGCAAAAAATGCAAAAAAACACATGAAAAATCGGGTAAGAAAGGTGAGAAATGCAAAAAACTCCAAAAACTTGGGTGAGAAATGCAAAAAATGCAAAAAAATGGGTGAGAAATGCAAAAAATGCAAAAAAATGGGTGAGAAACGCAAAAAATGCAAAAAAACCCCCACGAAAATTGGGTGAGAAACCCGAAAAATGCAAAAATATTGGGTGAGAAATGCGAAAAATGCAAAAAAATCCCGAAAATCAGGTGAGAAATGAAAAAAAATGCAAAAAAATCTTGAAAATTGGCTCTGAAATGCCAAAAATGCAAAAAACCCCCCAAAAATGGGGTGAGAAACGCAAAAAATGCAAAAAAATTGGGTGAGAAAGGTGAAAAATGCAAAAAAACCTACAAAAATGGGGTGAGAAACCCGAAAAATGCAAAAATATTGGGTGAGAAATGCAAAAAATGCAAAAAAACCACAAAAATTGGGTGAGAAATGCCAAAAATGAAAAAAAAACCACGAAAATTGGGTGAGGAAGGTGAAAAATGTAAAAAAATCATGAAAAATGGGGTGAGAAATGCGAAAAATGAAAAAAAAATTGGGTGAGAAAGGCAAAAAATGCAAAAAAACCCATGAAAAATCGGGTAAGAAAGGTGAGAAATGCAAAAAACTCCAAAAAATCGGGTGAGAAATGCCAAAAATGAAAAAAAACCACGAAAATTGGGTGAGGAAGGTGAAAAATGTAAAAAAATCACTAAAAATTGGGTGAGAAAGGCAAAAAATGAAAAAAAAACATGAAAAATTGGGTGAGGAACATGACAAATGCAACAAAATCCCGAAAATCAGGTAAGAAAGGCGAAAAATGCAAAAAACCCCAAAAAAATCGGGTGAGAAACGTGAAAAATGCAAAAAACCCCACGAAAAATGGGGTGAGAAATGCAAAAAATGGAAAAACACCCTGAAAAATCGTGTGAGAAACGCGAAAAATGAAAAAAAACAAGAAAAAAGGGGTGAGAAATGCAAAAAATGCAAAAAACCCACCAAAAATCGGGTGAGAAATGCAAAAAATGCAAAAAAATTGGGTGAGAAAGGCAAAAAATGAAAAAAACCCACGAAAATCAGCTGAGAAATGCAAAAAATGCAAAAAAACCCAAAAATTGGGTGAGAAACGTGAAAAATGCAAAAAAACCCACAAAAAATGGGGTGAGAAACACGAAAAATACCAAAAAAATGGGTGAGAAAGGCGAAAAATGCAAAAATCCCATGAAAATCGGGTGAGAAAGGCCAAAAATGAAAAAAAAATCCCAAAAATCGGGTGAGGAACACAAAAAATACCAAAAAAATTGGGTAAGGAACGCAAAAAATGCAAAAAAACCAAAAAAAATTGGGTGAGAAATGCGAAAAATGCAAAAAAAGTGGGTGAGAAACGCAAAAAATGCAAGAAAAACCACAAAAATCATGTGAGGAACACGAAAAATGCAAAAAAATCCAGTGTGGAAGGCAAAAAATGCAAAAAAAACCAAAAAATTGGGTGAGAAACCCGAAAAATGCAAAAAAACCACGAAAAATGGGGTGAGAAATGCGACAAATGCAAAAAAACCACAAAAAATGGGGTGAGAGATGCAAAAAACCCAAAAAAATCCTTTGGGACATGCAAAAAATGCAAAAAACCCACGAAATTTGGGTGAGGAGGGTAAAAAATGAAAAAGAAACACGAGCAATTGGGTGAGAAATGCGAAAAATGCAAAAAAATTGGGTGAGAAATGCGAAAAATGCAAAAAAAAAAGGTGAGAAAGGTGAAAAATGCAAAAAAAACATGAAAATTGAGTAAGAATGGCGAAAAATGCAAAAAAACCCCGAAAAATTGGCTGAGAAATGCGAAAAATGCAAAAAAACCCCGAAAATTGGGTGAGAAATGAAAAAAAATGCAAAAAAATGGGTGAGAAATGCGAAAAATGCAAAGAAATTGGGTGAGAAAGGCAAAAAATAAAAAAACCCATGAAAAATCGGGTGAGGAACATGACAAATGCAAAAAAATCCTGAAAATCGGGTGAGAAACATCAAAATGCAAAAAAAACCATGAAAAATGGGGTGAGAAATGCCAAAAATGCAAAAAAACCACGAAAAATCGGGTGAGAAATGCCAAAAATGCAAAAAAATCGGGTGAGAAATGCGAAAAATGCAAAAAACCCCAAAAAAATCCTGTGAGAGATGCACAAAATGCAAAAAAACCCCAAAAAAATACTTTGAGAGACCCAAAAAATGCAAAAAACCCATGAAATTTGGGTGAGGAAGGTAAAAAATGAAAAAAAAACACGAAAAATGGGGTGAGGAAGGCGAAAAATTAAAAAAAAACATGAAAAATTGTGTGAGAAAGGCGAAAAATGCAAAAAACTCAAAAAAATCGGGTGAGAAATGTGAAAAATGCAAAAAAAATCCCAAAAATCGGGTGAGAAACGTGAAAAATGCAAAAAAAACCACGAAAAATGGGGTGAGAAACGTGAAAAATGAAAAAAAACCCCGAAAATTTGGGTGAGAAACGTGAAAAATGAAAAAAACCCCGAAAAATTGGATGAGAAACGCAAAAAATGCAAAAAATTGGGTGAGAAAGGTGAAAAATGCAAAAAAAACCCCAAAAAATGGGGTGAGAAACGCAAAAAATGCAAAAAATCGGGTGAGAAATGCAAAAAATGCAAAAAATCAGGTGAGAAATGCAAAAAGTGCAAAAAAAACCCCGAAAAATTGGGTGAGAAACACAAAAAATGCAAAAAAAACCATGAAAAATCGGGTGAGAAACGTGAAAAATGAAAAAAAAATCCCAAAAATCGGGTGAGAAATGCAAAAAATGCAAAAAAATGGGTGAGAAAGGTGAAAAATGCAGAAACCCATGAAAATTGGGTGAGAAACACAAAAAATGCAAAAAACCCACGAAAAATCGGGTGAGAAACGCGAAAAATGCAAAAAAACCACGAAAAATGGGGTGAGAAATGCCAAAAATGCAAAAAAAATCCCAAAAATCGGGTGAGGAACACAAAAAATACCAAAAAAATTGGGTGAGAAACGCAAAAAATGCAAAAAAATACCAAAAATTGGGCGAGAAAGGCGAAAAATGCAAAAAAACCACGAAAATCAGGTGAGGAAGGTGAAAAATGCAAAAAAAACCACAAAAAAATCCTGTGAGGAACACAAAAAATACAAAAAACCCCCCAAAAAAATCCCCAAAAACTCCCCCCAAAAAATCCCAAAAATTCCCCCGAAAAATCCCCCAAAAATCCCAATAAAATCCCAAAAAAATCAGAATAAAATCCACCAAAAAATCCAAAAAAATCCCCAAAAAAATCTCCAAAGAAATCAGAATAAAATCCCCCAAAAATCCCCAAAAAAATCCCCCCAAAATCCCCAAAAATCCCAATGAAATTAAAAAAAATCCCCCCAAAATCCCAATAAAATAAAAAAAAATCCCAAGAAAGGCCAAAAATCTGAATAAATTCCCCAAGAATCCCAATAAAATGCCCCCAAAAAATCCCCCAAAAATCAGAATTAATTTCCCAAAAAATCCCAATAAAATCCCAATAAAATTAAAAAAAAAAATCCCCCCAAAATCCTAAAAAAACCAAAATAAAATCCAAAAAAAATCCCCAAAAAATCTTAAAAAAAATCAAAATAAAATCCAAAAAAAATCAGAATAAAATCCCAAAAAAGCCCCAAAACCCTCCAGAACCCCCCTAAAAAAATCCCAATTTTCCCCCAAACCCCAAAATTCCCCAAAATTCCCCAAAAATTCCCAAAATTCTGGAAAAATTCCCATATTTCCGACCTTGGCGAAGCAGGGGTTGGAGGAGAGGTTGTGGCGCACTCCCAATAAAAACCAAAAAATCCCAATAAAATAAAAAAAAATCCCCAAAAAATCCCAAAAAATCAGAATAAAATCCACAAAAAAATTCCAATAAAATAAAATACAAATTCCCAAAAAATCCTCCAAAAAATCCCCAAATGATCCCCAAAAGATCCCCAAAAATCCCTGAAAAATACCCCAAACATCCCAATAAAATCCCAAAAAAATCCCAATAAAATAAAAAAAAAATCCCCAAAAAAAGGCAAAAAAATCTTAATAAAATCCCCAAAAAATTCCCCGAAAAAATCCCAAAAAAAATCCCCAAAAATCAGAATAAAATTCCCAAAACTCAGAATAAAATCCCAAAAAAATCCCCAAAAAAATCCCCCAAAAATCCCCAAAAACTCCTAAAAAAAATCAAAATAAAATCCCAAAAAATTCAAAATAAAATCCAAAAAAATCAATATAAAATCCCCAAAAAATCAAAATAAAATCCCAAAAAAAGCCCCAAAACCCCCACAAACCCCCCTAAAAAAATCCCCAAATTTTCCCCAAACCCAAAAATTCCCAAATTTTCCCAAAAATCCCCAAATTTCCCACCTTGGCGAAGCAGGGGTTGGAGGAGAGGTTGTGGCGCACTCCCAATAAAATCCCAAAAAATCAAAAAAAAAGCAAAAAAATCTGAATAAAATCCCAATAAAATCACCCAAAAAATCAGAATAAAATCCCCAAAAAATCCCAACAAAATCCAAAAAAAAACCCAAAAAAGCAAAAAAATCCCAATGAAATCCCCAAATAATCTCCAAAGAAATCAGAATAAAATCCAAAAAAATCCCCCAAAAAATCCCCAAAAAAATCCCCCAAAAATCCCAATAAAATAAAAAAAAAATCCCCAAAAAACTCCAAAAAATCAGAATAAATTCCGAAAAAAATCCCCAAAAATTCAGAATAAAATTCCCCAAAAAATCCCCCAAAAATCACAATAAAATCCAAAAAATCCCCAAAAAAATCCCCAAAAAATACAAAAAAATCAGAATAAAATCCTGAAAAAATAAAAAAAAATCCCTAAAAAAATCAAAATAAAATCCCCCAAAATCCCAATAAAATCTGAATAAAATCCAGAAAAATCCCTAAAAAAATCCCAAAAAAATCCTGAAGTTTCCCCCAAACCCCAAAACCCCAAAATTCCCCAAAAATTCCCAAAAATTCCCGAAAAATCCCCAAATTTCCCCACCTTGGCGAAGCAGGGGTTGGAGGAGAGGTTGTGGCGCACGGAATCCTTCCAGCCCTGGTAGCGCCCCCCGAAGAACGGGAAGAGGCTCCGCAGCTGCTGAATGATCTGAAAAATAAAAAAAAATACAAATTTTGGGGGGTTTGGGGTAATTTTGGGGTGGGAAAATAAAAAAATAATTTAGGGAAAAATTCATGGGGAAAAACGCCAAATTTCTAAAAAAAAATCGGAAAAAATGAAAAAATGTTGAAAAAATGAATGAAAAGTTGTTACAGATAAAAATCCCAAAAATCAAAAAAACCCACAAAAATCCTGAAAAATGAATAAAAAATCGCTACAAATAAAAATCCCAAAAATCCCCCAAAAAAACCAAAAAATCCCCCCAAATGCCCCCAAAATTATTCCAAAAAAACCGCCAAAAATAAAAACACCCAAAAAATCCCCCAAAAAACCCCAAAAAAACCTAAAAATGCCCCCGAAATCCCAACCATCCCCCTAAAGTACCAAAATCACTCAAAAACTCCCAAAGCACCAAAAAATCCCCCCCAAAAAACCCAAATCCTCAAAAAAACACCCCAAAATTTCGGGGGGTTGGTAAATTTTGGGGTGGGGAAATAATAAAAAAAATTCGCTAAAAATTCACCCAAAAAACCCCAAAATTCTGACAAAAAAACCCACAAAAAAATCCCCCAAAATCTCCAAAGAAATCCCCAAAAAAATCCCCCAAAATAAAAAAAAACAAAAACGAAAACAGCCCCAAAAATCTCAATAAAATATCCCCAGAAAAATAAACGCAAAAATCCCCAAAACCCTGCCAAAAATCCCCCCAAAAATCCCCAAAAATCCCAAAATCCCAAAAATCCCTCAAAGTCCCCAAAAAACCGCCAAAATCCAAAAATCCAAAAATACCCCCCAAAAAACTTCCTCAAAAATCCCAAAAAACCCAAAAAAAAACCCCTGAAAATCCCAAAAATACGAAAAAATCCCCCAAAATCCCAAAAACCCCCAAAAAATCCCCAAAATAAAAAAAAAAATCCCCCAAGATTCCCAACCCCCCCTAAAAACCCAAAAACGCCCAAAAAAATCCCACTAAAATACCCCTAAAATCCCCCAAAATCCCAAGAGATCCCTGGAAAAAAAAACCCACCAAAAATCCCCAAAAGTCCCCCCAAATCCCAAAAACCCCCATAAGATCCCAAAAATCCCCAAAAAATCCCCAAAAAATCCCCAAAAATCTCCCCAAAAAACTCGCAAAATCCCCCCCAAAAAAAATCCCCAAAAAATCCCCAAAAAATCCTCCAGGAAATCCCCCAAAAAATCCTCAAAGAACTCCCCAAAATCCCAAAAAAACCCAAAAAATCTCCCTAAAAAACCCCCAAAATCCCCCCAAAAATCTCTAAAATCCCCCGAAAAAAATCCCCCCAAATCCAAAAAAATCCCCCAAAAATCCCGATAAAATCCCCGCTAAAAATTCCAGTAAAATCACAATAAAATCCAAAAAAATCCCCCAAAAAATCCCCCAAAAATCCCAAAAAATCCCTAAAAACCCCAAAAAATCCCCAAAAAAAACCCCAAAAACCCCCAAAAAACCCCAAAATCCAAAAAAATCCACCAAAAAATCCTCAAAGAACTCCCCAAAATCCCAAAAAAGCCCAAAAATATCTCCCTAAAAATCCCCTAAAAATTCCCTAAAACTCCCCCAAAAAAACCCCAAAAAGTCCCTCCCCAAAAATCCCAATAAAATCCCAATAAAATCCCCCCAAAATCCCAATAAAATCCCCCAAAAATCCAAAAAAAATTCCCCCCAAAAAATCCCCCAAAAATCCAAATAAAATCCCCCCAAAAATCCCCCAAATCCCGAAAAAAAATCCCCAAAAACTTCCAAAAAAAAATCCCCCCAAATCACCAAAAAATCCCCCCAAAAAATCCCCCAAAAAATCCCAATAAAATCCCCCAAAAAATCCCAATAAAATCCCCAAAAAATCCCAAAAAAATCCCCCAAAATCCCCAAAAAATCCCCCCAAAAAATCCCCCAAAAAATCCCAATAAAATCCCCCAAAATCTCAAAAAAACTCCCAAATCCCGGAAAAAAACCCCAAAAACTCCCAAAAATCCTCAAAAAAATCCCCCAAAAAATCCCAATAAAATCCCAAAAAAAATCCCCCAAAATCCCCAAGAAAATCCAAAAAAAATCCCCCAAAATCCCAAAAAAAATCCCCCCAAAAATCTCAAAAAAATCTCAAAAAATCCCTTAAAAATCTGCCAAAAAAAACCCCAAAACTTTCCCCCCCCCCAAAAAAAAACCTACCAAAAAATTCCCCAAAATCAATACGCCCCCCAAATCCAAAAAAATCCCTCCAAAAATACCCCCAAAAATCCCCCAAAATCCCTCAAAAATCCCTAAAAAAAACCCCAAAAATTCCAAAAATCCCCCCAAAAAAATCCCCCAAAAAATCTCAAAAAATCCCCCCAAAAAATCCCCCAAAATCCAAAAAATCCCGAAAAGATTCCCAAAAAATGTCCCCTAAAATCCCCAAAAAATCCCCAAAAAATCTCCCAAAGAATCCCCAAAAAACTCGCAAAATCCCCCCCAAAAAAAAAAATCCCCCAAAAATCCCCAAAAAACTCCTCCAGGAAATCCCCCAAAAAATCCTCAAAGAACTCCCCAGAATCCCCAAAATCCCCAAAAAAATCTCCCTTAAAAACCCCCAAAATCCCCCAAAAATCCCCCAAATCCCGAAAAAAAAAATCCCAAAAACCCTCAAAAAAATCCCCCAAAAAATCTCAAAAAATCCCCCCAAAAATCCCAAAAAATCCCCCCAAAAATCCCCCCCAAAATCCCCCAAATCCCGAAAAAAAACCCCAAAAACTCCCAAAAATCCTCAAAAAAATCCCCCAAAAAATCTCAAAAAATCCCCCCAAAAATCCCCCAAATCCCGAAGAAAACCCCCCAAAAATCCAGAAAAAATCCCCCAAAAAATCCCAATAAAATCCCCAAAAATCCCCCCAAAATCCCTCAAAAATCCCTAAAAAAACCCCCAAAAAATCCCCCAAAAATCCCAATAAAATCCCAATAAAATCCCCAAAAATCCCGCAAATCCCGAAAAAAAATCCCCAAAAACTTCCAAAAAATCCCCCAAATCCCGAAAAAAAATCCCCAAAAACTTCCAAAAAAATCCCCCCAAAAAATCCCCCCAAAAATCTCCAAAAATCCCTCCAAAAATCCCAAAAAAACCCCCAAAATCCCCCAAAATTCCCCCAAAATCCCAAAAAAATCCCCAAAAAAATTTAAAAAAAATCCCCCAAAATCCCCAAAAAATCCCCTCAAAAAATCCCCCCAAAAATCCCTAAAAAACCCCCAAAAATACCAAAAATCCCCCCAAAATTCCCCCAAAAGCTCCCAAAAATCCTCAAAAACATCCTCAAAAAAATCCCCCAAAATCCCCAAAAAATCCCCCCAAAAAATCCCCCAAAAATCCCAATAAAATCCCCAAAAAAATCCCCAAAAAAATCCCCAAAAAAACTCCCAAAAATCCCCAAAAATCCCCCCAAAAATCCCCAAAATCCCCCGAAAAAATCCCCCCAAAAATCCACAAGAATCCCTCAAAAATCCCTAAAAAAACCCCAAAAATCCCAAAAAATCCCAATAAAATCCCCCAAAATCAAAAAAAACCCCCAAAAATCCCCCCAAAAAATCCCAATAAAATCCCCCAAAATCTCAAAAAAACTCCCAAATCCCGGAAAAAAACCCCCAAAAACTCCCAAAAATCCTCAAAAAAATCCCCCAAAAAATTTCAAAAAATCCCCAAAAATCCCCCCAAAAATCCCCAAAATCCCCCGAAAAAATCCCCCCAAAAATCCACAAAAATCCCTCAAAAATCCCTAAAAAAACCCCAAAAATCCCAAAAAATCCCCCCAAAAATCCCCCAAAAATCCCAATAAAATCCCAATAAAATCCCCCAAAAAATCCCAATAAAATCCCCCAAAAATCCAAAAAAATTCCCCCAAAATCCCCAAAAAATCCCACCAAAAAATCCCCCAAAATCCAAAAAAACCCCAAAAATCCCCCCAAAAAATCCCCCCAAACCCCCCAAAATCCCCCCAAAATCCCCCAAATCCCGAAAAAAACCCCCAAAAACTCCCAAAAATCCTCAAAAAAATCCCCCAAAAAATCTCAAAAAATCCCCCCAAAATCCCCCCAAAAATCCCCCAAATCCCGAAAAAAACCCCCAAAAACTTCCAAAAATCCTCAAAAAAATCCCCCAAAAAATCTCAAAAAATCCCCCCAAAAATCCCCCCAAATCCCGAAAAAAAACCCCCAAAAACTCCCAAAAATCCTCCAAAAAATCCCCCCAAAAAATCCCCCAAAAAATCCCAATAAAATCCCCCAAAATCCCAAAAAAAACCCCAAATCCCGATAAAAACCCCCCAAAACCTCCCAAAAATCCTCAAAAAAATCCTCAAAAAAATCCCCCAAAAAATCCCAATAAAATCCCCAAAAATCCCCCCAAAATCCCTCAAAAATCCCTAAAAATCCCCCCAAAATCCCTCAAAAATCCCTAAAAAAAACCCCAAAATCAAAAAAAACCGAAAAAATCCCCCCCCAAATAAATCTCCAGAAAAATTCCCCAAAATCAATAACCCCCCCAAAATCCAAAAAAATCCCCCCAAAAATCCCCAAAATCCCCAAAGAAAATCCCTCAAAACCTAAAAAAAACCCCAAAAATCCTCCCAAAAAATCCCCCAAAAAATCCCTCAAAATCCAAAAAACCCCAAAAATCCCCTAAGAAAATCCCCCAATAAATCCCAATAAAATCCCCCAAAAATCCAAAAAAAATTCCCCAAAATCCCAAAAAATCCCCCCAAAAATCCCCAAAAAATTCCCCAAAATCCCCCCAAAAAATCTCAAAAAATCAAAAAAAAATCCTCCAAAATAAAAAAAACCGAAAATCCCCAAAAAATCCCAATAAAATCCAAAAAAATCTCAATAAAATCCCCCCAAATCCCCAAAAAATACCCCCATAAAATCCCCCAAAAGCCCCAAAAAAATCCCCCAAAAAATCCCAATAAAATCCCCAAAAATCCCCCCAAAATCCCTCCAAAATCCCTAAAAAAAACCCCAAAAATCCCAAAAAATCCCCCCAAAAATCCCCAAAAAATTCCCCAAAATC